GCAAGTCCATTATCATTTCCATAGAACTAGTTGTAAAAAGCATGCCTCCATGCGGGATTGAACCGGAGACCTTCTGTTTACAAGACAGACGCTCTGCCACTGAACGTAATCTCCATGTTAATAGTCAAAAGAATGCCTCCATGCGGGATTGAACCGCAGACCTTCTGTTTACGAGACAGACGCTCTGCCACTGAGCTATAGAGGCATGTGATTTTTCGCTGTCATCAAATTTGCCTGGGCAAGCTCCGCTTCTCCTACATTAAGATGGTGGAGCTTCTGTACATACGAGTCACACGAGTAGTGCTGGAACTTGTGCATGCCATGGTGAAGTCTCAAAAGGTTGCTACCGGTGAGGCTCGAATCACGACCTTCACATTATGAGACTGACGCGCTGCCTACTGCGCTACGGAAGCTCAGATCCTAAGCTGAACATTTGAACCTTCTGCTTCCCCACACCAGCGTAATGATATCTAAGATATACGGATCCACAACTGGTGCTGGAACTTGTGCATGCCATGGTGAAGTCTCAAAAGGTTGCTCCCGGTGAGGCTCGAACTCACGACCTTCAGATTATGAGACTGACGCGCTGCCTACTGCGCTACGGAAGCTCAGAGCCTAAGCTGAACATTTGAACCTTCTGCTTCCCAAGACCAGCTTAATGATATCTAAGATGTACGGATTCACAACTGATGCTGGAACTTGTGCATGCCATGGTGAAGTCTCAAAAGGTTGCTCCCGGTGAGGCTCGAACTCACGACCTTCAGATTATGAGACTGACGCGCTGCCTACTGCGCTACGGAAGCACAGACCCATAATTAAACACCCGGATATTCTGCTGCGGCAAGTGAAATTAGCCGTGAAAGAAGCAAGTCCAGTAACACTCCATAGAACTAGTTGTAAAAAGCATGCCTCCATGCGGGATTAAACCGCAGACCTTCTGTTTACAAGACAGACGCTCTCCCACTAAGCTATAGAGGCCTGTGATTTTTCGCTGTCATCAAATTTGCCTGGGCAAGCTCCGCTTCTCCTACATTAAGATGGTGGAGCTTCTGTACATACGAGTCACACGAGTAGTGCTGGAACTTGTGCATGCCATGGTGAAGTCTCAAAAGGTTGCTCCCGGTGAGGCTCGAACTCACGACCTTCAGATTATGAGACTGACGCGCTGCCTACTGCGCTACGGAAGCACAGACCCATAATTAAACACGGGATTTTCTGCTGCGGCAAGTGAAATTACCCATGAAAAAGCATGTCCAGTATCAATCCATAGAATTAGTTGTAAAAAGCATTCCTCCATGCGGGATTGAAGCGCAGACCTTCTGTTTACAAGACAGACGCTCTGCCACTGAGCTGTAGAGGCCCCTAGTTTCCGGCTATACTCGAACCGATATGTGGCAACTGGGCTGCAGTCGGGAGGATCGCACCCAGTAATCTCCATGTTAATAGTCAAAAAAATGCCTCCATGCGGGATTGAACCGCAGACCTTCTGTTTACGAGCAGACGCTCTGCCACTGAGCTATAGAGGCCCCTAGTTTCCGGCTATACTCGAACCGATATGTGGCAACTGGGCTGCAGTCGGGAGGATCGCACCCAGTAATCTCCATGTTAATAGTCAAAAAAATGCCTCCATGCGGGATTGAACCGCAGACCTTCTGTTTACAAGACAGTCGCTCTGCCACTGAACTATAGAGGCCTGTGATTTTTCGCTGTCATCAAATTTGCCTGGGCAAGCTCCGCTTCTCCTTCATTAAGATGGTGGAGCTTCTGTACATACGAGTCACACGAGTAGTGCTTGAACTTGTGCATGCCATGGTCAAGTCTCAAAAGGTTGCTCCCGGTGAGGCTCGAACTCACGACCTTCAGATTATGAGACTGACGCGCTGCCTACTGCGCTACGGAAGCACAGACCCATAATTAAACACCCGGATATTCTGCTGCGGCAAGTGAAATTAGCCGTGAAAGAAGCAAGTCCAGTAACACTCCATAGAACTAGTTGTAAAAAGCATGCCTCCATGCGGGATTAAACCGCAGACCTTCTGTTTACAAGACAGACGCTCTCCCACTAAGCTATAGAGGCCTGTGATTTTTCGCTGTCATCAAATTTGCCTGGGCAAGCTCCGCTTCTCCTACATTAAGATGGTGGAGCTTCTGTACATACGAGTCACACGAGTAGTGCTGGAACTTGTGCATGCCATGGTGAAGTCTCAAAAGGTTGCTCCCGGTGAGGCTCGAACTCACGACCTTCAGATTATGAGACTGACGCGCTGCCTACTGCGCTACGGAAGCACAGACCCATAATTAAACACCCGGATATTCTGCTGCGGCAAGTGAAATTAGCCGTGAAAGAAGCAAGTCCAGTAACACTCCATAGAACTAGTTGTAAAAAGCATGCCTCCATGCGGGATTAAACCGCAGACCTTCTGTTTACAAGACAGACGCTCTCCCACTAAGCTATAGAGGCCTGTGATTTTTCGCTGTCATCAAATTTGCCTGGGCAAGCTCCGCTTCTCCTACATTAAGATGGTGGAGCTTCTGTACATACGAGTCACACGAGTAGTGCTGGAACTTGTGCATGCCATGGTGAAGTCTCAAAAGGTTGCTCCCGGTGAGGCTCGAACTCACGACCTTCAGATTATGAGACTGACGCGCTGCCTACTGCGCTACGGAAGCACAGACCCATAATTAAACACGGGATTTTCTGCTGCGGCAAGTGAAATTACCCATGAAAAAGCATGTCCAGTATCAATCCATAGAATTAGTTGTAAAAAGCATTCCTCCATGCGGGATTGAAGCGCAGACCTTCTGTTTACAAGACAGACGCTCTGCCACTGAGCTGTAGAGGCCCCTAGTTTCCGGCTATACTCGAACCGATATGTGGCAACTGGGCTGCAGTCGGGAGGATCGCACCCAGTAATCTCCATGTTAATAGTCAAAAAAATGCCTCCATGCGGGATTGAACCGCAGACCTTCTGTTTACGAGCAGACGCTCTGCCACTGAGCTATAGAGGCCCCTAGTTTCCGGCTATACTCGAACCGATATGTGGCAACTGGGCTGCAGTCGGGAGGATCGCACCCAGTAATCTCCATGTTAATAGTCAAAAAAATGCCTCCATGCGGGATTGAACCGCAGACCTTCTGTTTACAAGACAGGCGCTCTGCCACTGAACTATAGAGGCCTGTGATTTTTCGCTGTCATCAAATTTGCCTGGGCAAGCTCCGCTTCTCCTTCATTAAGATGGTGGAGCTTCTGTACATACGAGTCACACGAGTAGTGCTTGAACTTGTGCATGCCATGGTCAAGTCTCAAAAGGTTGCTCCCGGTGAGGCTCGAACTCACGACCTTCAGATTATGAGACTGACGCGCTGCCTACTGCGCTACGGAAGCACAGACCCATAATTAAACACCCGGATATTCTGCTGCGGCAAGTGAAATTAGCCGTGAAAGAAGCAAGTCCAGTAACACTCCATAGAACTAGTTGTAAAAAGCATGCCTCCATGCGGGATTAAACCGCAGACCTTCTGTTTACAAGACAGACGCTCTCCCACTAAGCTATAGAGGCCTGTGATTTTTCGCTGTCATCAAATTTGCCTGGGCAAGCTCCGCTTCTCCTACATTAAGATGGTGGAGCTTCTGTACATACGAGTCACACGAGTAGTGCTGGAACTTGTGCATGCCATGGTGAAGTCTCAAAAGGTTGCTCCCGGTGAGGCTCGAACTCACGACCTTCAGATTATGAGACTGACGCGCTGCCTACTGCGCTACGGAAGCACAGACCCATAATTAAACACCGGATTTTCTGCTGCGGCAAGTGAAATTACGCATGAAAAAGCATGTCCAGTATCAATCCATAGAATTAGTTGTAAAAAGCATTCCTCCATGCGGGATTGAAGCGCAGACCTTCTGTTTACAAGACAGACGCTCTGCCACTGAGCTATAGAGGCCCCTAGTTTCCGGCTATACTCGAACCGATATGTGGCAACTGGGCTGCAGTCGGGAGGATCGCACCCAGTAATCTCCATGTTAATAGTCAAAAAAATGCCTCCATGCGGGATTGAACCGCAGACCTTCTGTTTACGAGCAGACGCTCTGCCACTGAGCTATAGAGGCCCCTAGTTTCCGGCTATACTCGAACCGATATGTGGCAACTGGGCTGCAGTCGGGAGGATCGCACCCAGTAATCTCCATGTTAATAGTCAAAAAAATGCCTCCATGCGGGATTGAACCGCAGACCTTCTGTTTACAAGAGCGGCCGCCGCAGCTTTGAAGGGGGTGTGCCGCACCCCATTAACTATGTCATAAAAATTTTTTTAGCAAACCTTATTTATATGGATCGATAGCCTAGATCTTCTAGTTTTCACAGGAGTGATTTGAGCCTGATTCGTCTTCTTAGCTCTGAGTAATGTTCGGTGAAACACAGCGATTACAAGCGAAAAATGGGAAAAACGAGATTTTGGTTGGCTTCTAATTCCACAGTTTTGAGGTCTTCTGCAGCGGGATTCCTGAGGTGGACAAAGAAAGAGCAGTGCTTTGTCTTGAGTGCAAAAACGGATAGCTAATTCACCTTTAAAACAAAGTTGACCACGTTGGAATTTGACCACACTTAGGTAGCCTAATATCTTGAATCTTCAGAATTCGCTCACACTTTGTCTACAGGGGTTATTTGACATGCTAATTATGGATAGGATACGAATATCATGTTATCACTATTATCAGATTACCCAACTACGACCCCCTCCCCTTTTGACTCCTCAATGCGAACCCCCCAGGTGTGGCGTGCCGCACCCAACGCTTGACCCTGTAAATGACTGAGCTACCGCCTCACCAAAGTACAATATTCAATGATAAAATAGCTTTTGGAATAGATTTTGGTTACACATATTATATTTTCAAAGCCTTTAATACTGATTGATCAGAAACTCGGTCTTACTCGGCACTTAAAACAATAAAAGTCTCAACAACTCAACATATATACAGAACGGAAAGGAAAGAAAAGGCAACGTCATTCACACATGGGTTTCAGAGCAAACATTTTAACTTTGTACATTCCGGGTGGGAATCCTGTTTGAACATTCTCGGCTACGACTCTCAATCTTGCGCGTTCAAATAGTTCCAAAACAAGTTTTTCTGGTCTTGTCCAACTGTTATCTTCACTGTCAAATTCAGATTCTTCTTGAGCAGATAGGTTGTCTTTGAATACAATGACACCCTCATTCGTAAGTGCTTGCTGTAACATAAGTTTATATAGCTGCACCGGGATGGGTGAAATCGTATGCGATGTACTTTGCAGCGTTGGAGAAATTGAACCATGTCGCTATCCGTTATGTGACCAGAACACCACTGAATCCAAAATAGGTCAAAAGAGGAGGGTTCAGGATAGAAATTTTGTAGCCCCACTGGGAGTCTCTTCACATTCCCGTTATCACCTAAAAATGATAATCAGGCATTTCGCCAGCAATAATACTAGAAATATTTGTAAGATGACAACCATCGGCTTATGAACTTACCCACATAAGTGAGACTTTTATCGAGCAGTTCAGCAACGGGTTCAACCATTACGACGTTTTTGAAGATAGGCAGCAACAAATGCCGTGTCACTCTCCCGATGCCCGCCCCACAATCAGCAGCTCGATTTGTAGCAATAAGGAATTTCTGGAAACAGTTTGCATGAAACTTACTCATTAGATAGACACGCTGAATAAATGTGTGACAGAGGAGACGACAGGATAGCATTCAGCAACGTCCTGAGTATACAGGAAACCGCATCACGGTATGACTGGAATTGTGGTCCCTGATTTAAGATTTTGAGAAGGACAATCACAAGTCAATAACAGACAAACTTTGCGTGTTGTTTCTGATACGACATACATTCGAGTAGATTTTTCGCTCATATAGTTGCTTGCACCACAGGTAAAATGCGGTAAAATCTGCGCGCTAACAACAGCACACCAGTAACGCGGCACTTTGCCCGCGCAATTGACCGGCGTCACAGGCGTGGCTATTTGTTCACGCGCAGGTTTTACCGCATTTTATGTGCAGCGCAAGCACACTACACTGACGAGGGAAGTACTTTCAATGGCCGTGGCTGTTTGATATGAGATGCCTACCATCTGAAGCAGCTTCGAACGCTGATTTCAAATCTGCCTTCCGTTTCTGCGGAACGCTCTTCTGAAGAGAGTTATCGAAGCCTGAACATCCTATTTTGGGGGCGCTCCTTGAGTTTGAGAACGCTGCTATGTGCATTGGTGGTACAGTAATGTAATGGTTACTTGCTGACATTGAATGCGAGAGGTTGACGATTCAAATTCGGTAGAGAGCGAGCCATTTTGCATTTTGAATGTGAGTTTAAAAGCACTCTAAATCGTCTGCAGACACTTACTGTAATGCCTTAGCACAAACAGGAGAGAACATCTTTTCGACTAATGACAGTGTGCATTTTTTGAGCTTTATATGGTGACAAACGTGCTACGCCATGTTCGGTCCTGTTTTACTAGTAAGAAAGTCAAATAGAATTTCAGGCTCTCATTACAAGCAGTTTTGCCACAAAATTCTTTTTCTAAATCACTTAAGCCAAAGGCCATACAGTAAGTGTCTGCAGGCAATTTAGAGTGCTTTCAAACTCACATTCAATAAACAAAATAGTTCGCTCTCCACCGGATTCGAACAATCAACCTCTTGCCTTCAATGTCACTACATTACTGTACCACCAATGCACATAGCAGCGCCCTCAAACTCAAAGAGCGTCCCCAAAATAGAATGTTCAGGCTTCCATAACTCTCTTCAGAAGAGCGTTCCGCAGAAACGGAAAGCAGATTTAAAATCAGCGTTCGAAGCTGCTTCAGATGATATGCATCTTATATCAAAAGGCCACGGCCATTGATAGTAATTCCCTTGTGAGTGAAAAATTTACTTGAGTATGATATGGCAGCGTTGACTGCACATAATCGCTGCTAGAACCGAAAATGAGCAAAGATTCTAGAGCTGGGACGAATGTAAGGATTTCACATTGTAGATCTAACTAAGACGGAGATGAATAATTTCGATTCATTGCTGCGCATACGAGCAAAGTTCTTAAAATAGAAAGCTCCTGAAAAGCAACTTCTCAGGATTTTATCATATGAAAATATCTCTCTGGAACTGTGCTCTGAACGATAAGATGAAACGTAGATTCCAGAATGTATCATCGGCTACCAAATTCGTAGGCGGAGTCGCGCCAACTCAAAGGATGGCGGTCTTTGATAGCGGAATAATACGAAAAGCAAGGCTAAAGTGGAAGTTTGAGAAGTTTATCCGCGCTATCAGAATAAGTGCGCGATCCACTTCCGCGATCCACAGATCTGTGAGCCGATCATTCGCTCACTTATACTAGAAAAGCGAAAATGGCTAGATCTGAGGACGCCACACTGTTTTGATATTCAACAAATGTCTCTTTCAGAAAGCGGGACTCACTTTCCGGATAAACAGTGGCTACGTTAATGAGCGAATATATGTACCTATATGTTGTGAGGACCCGTATGTATACCTATAGTTACAAATGGCTGTAAGAGCGCGCCCCATAAACCAATGCTACCTTACCGACCCTGTCGATTTATTGCGGACGCCTTTAAAGGCAGTGTCTCAACAAAGTTGAGGTTGCGCGGATCTCCACATATTCTATAACAGGGAGCTCTAAATAGGTCATTGCAACAGGTCCCACTCGATTTGACCCCCTCCACGCTGAGAAAAATTCGCTCAAAGTGGTACGAGGAGAGCGAGTTGGTACGCGCGGACGACACCTTCGGTCTCCCCCCTTACGCGCTTTGACATGTCCCTCCACTTGTCCACCTCCCCTCTGTTGCTGTCACCCACTGTGGCTGAGGCTGAAGTTGGAAAGCAAACTCGTCCACGTTGCTTCTGCGGGGCCTCCACAAAACGGGTTTTTGGGAACTTCGTGCGATTTTGAGCCCATTCAGTGCTAGACAGGGTCCGACAGGCTTGCAAAATGCAAAAATCTCGGCAACTAAATATTGGTGAGGCACTGCCTTTAAAGCCAGTGTCCAGGCAAATCTGGAGGACCGGCCCACCGCTTTTCACCGTCGCTCAGTACGCGCCGCAGTCCGCGCCACACTAAAACCCATCATTGGGGCGCATTTTTGCGCAGGCGTTGCAAATATGCAAAAAGAGTTAGCACCATGCTATTACCCCCTCCCCTCGCCACTGTTCATCACTTTGTAATCACCCTAGCATAGGTGCATCTGCCCGAAAAGGACAAGGTCCACGGCAAATCCATGACCTCATGCTACACCTTCCAGAACTCCAAGAAGCCTCATTATGCAAAAATAAATATGCTTTTGTGTTTAGCATACCAGATAACCCTCTTAGACCAATCAATGCCAAATCTGTGGTTTTGACCCCGACACACAATGCAAGAAAAAATCAAGCTGTGGGAAATTCTCGTAAATAACGCGTGGAAATGCCCATCCATGTTCCGGCAAAAATCACAGCTTTGAAATTTAAGGCCTGGATGTTAGAATAACGCCAATCTCGTAGAGGCGGAAAGCTTACACATTGCCATATAAAACTCCATCCATTGAAGACTTGTGCGAGAAAGGAGGCTGCACAACACATGATCCTACCAACAAGAACAGACCAAACAGCACAGCAGCGACTCTACATTTCCACATCGCTTTACTAGTCATCTTCAGACAATGAGCGTGAATTGTGAAGCCTAAAAGTCGTAGATGTTCATTCTTGTTGCGATGTCTGTTGCGAAAATTTCTCGAATTGTATTCTAGCGGATTTAGTGAGATTACTGTGACTTAGTGAATGCGATACTCTCGTTTGATAGAAAGGTAGCGCAAACCACATTTAGCGGCATGTAAATCAATAGTTTTGGATTGTTATTACTGCCAGAACTCTGCCCCGGACTGAAGCTGATGAACTTATTGACAAATTTGGAATTCCGCTAAGGCCATATTTCCCCTGACTGGACAAGTATGTGCGTGGACAGAGTCACTGGCTCTAAATTTGCATACCCTACTGACATCTATCTGTCCAACCTGTCCAACCATAAAGCCTTGTCTTCTGGGTGTACAGAGTAAGCCTAATCCGGACCGCGCAAAAAAGGTCGTGATCTCAGCAACAGATTGCAGTATTTTTTTTTACATGTTCTATCTTCTCTAACGATAGGAAGCGGACGATTAAAAATGGAAGAAAATTTTCGCCTGCGTAGACTCATACCTATCTTTGCAGCATAGGTCTCTCCTTACTACCTGCTCATATTTTACTGTTTGACCAACAGTTGTGATAGAAGCAATTGTTTGGCGTCTACCATTTGACACAAAAGCACAAGAGGCAAGGTAATCGAATTGTTTGGCGAACTACTCTACCAAACGGAGACATAACGAAATCCACGCACAGAAATGATGTTTGAAGAACGTTTTCCGTCTGAGCTTAGAACAGTTGCGCAGAATTCTCTCATGCTTAATGAAACGAGGACGCGTACTGAGCCGACGGTGACGGGCGCCGGGACGGTCCTCGCAAATCTGGACATATGGGGATCTCATGTAGATAGTAATTGTGGGGCCCTCAGCCACTGCCCAATCGATAGTTCAGGTAGTGATCTAACGGCTGAGAAGATATTCCCCTCAAAACTGGACCCCAGGATCGTATTTCGCATAGATTCATGTCGCAACGTGTGAGACCTCGAGCGAAACTCATGGGTTGCGCCATGAACCCATGCGAATTACGATCCTGGGGTTCAGGAAGCGTGTATCTCAGCCGTTAGTGAGTCACCTGCGCCGCCGCTTGGGCAGTGCCTAGTCAAGGCCCCAAAATTACTTTCTATGTAAAATCCCCATAGGTCAAGATTTGCTGGACGCTGCCTTCAAAGGCAGCGTCCGGGCAGGTTTGACGATCACAAGAAAAACATACTTACAGTAAGTTTCGTCCCGCTCTAGGCGGAAACTGTATTGGCGGGAGTCCGCCTCGCAACAGCTCGCGCCGTTTCGCAGCTGCAGTATATCCATCGTGCTGAGAACCCATGTCTGCGTCTCTTCAATCTCCTAAGTCTTTGCTTGGCAAAATGCCAGCGCTCGCGAAGCCTTCAACGATGCGCATGCGCTGCTCCACGTAGAAGGTCTCGCCTAATCCGGGATGAAACCGACTGTATCTGCAGCTGCCACCCTAAAGAAGCTCTTGCTCAAGCAGCGTTGCTTCAATATGGTTCTGAAGCGAGAAATCTGCTTCGGAATTGGCGACTTAGACGCCCTGGTGACCTGCCCGCCCCCTCCATCATTAGCCACAGTGCCTATATTGCACACAGTCAAGGCGTGGGGTCCTACCACGACTCTGCGTCTTCCGGCAAGCGCCCGAATTCAAAAATAGGGGCTTCCGGAATGGCCCGTTTTCAACATTTTCACTCTGCAAGCTGCATTTTCGGATTTAGCGGGAAGGATAAGCCCAGGTAAGCGAAAAAAATTTTGTTCGAAATTTTGCCCGGACGCTGCCTTTAAAGGCAGCGTCCGAGGAGATAAAAAAATGTAGAGTATAGGGGCGCCCGTCGTGGTAGGGCTCTCGCCCGACTGGCAATGCACCAATTTGCTTCTGAAGCGAGAAATCCGCATCAAGTGGCGACCGGAACGCCCCGGTGACCGGGACGAGTTAGTTCGATA